GTTACAAAATAATGTAAAATAAAGTAAAATAGTACGAACGATATTTAAATTTACGAAATCAGACACAAAACGAGCTTTCTCTGAAAAAATATATTTTCTTTTGACAGAATCAAACTCTTGATCTTCAAAATATTAGGGATTCCCAATATCTCGGAAATATGGACCTAATATATTTCAGTCAGGCGAGATCCCTTAATTTTATTTTTTGCATATTTCTCCATATCTCGTGATAATTTTAAATTAATTAAAATTTTTTTGCGAACAATATAAAATTTGTATGTTCAAATAATCCCATGAAGAAATTAATTTTAATAATTTTTTATAATACATATTTAATAATAGTCAAGCAATTTTCAAAATGTAAGCTACACCCATTTTTGCATAATTATAAATAATGAAACATGTATGAATTAGCATATTCTTCGAACCATTAAGATTTAGTTATAGTTTCTGAAAATCCGAACATGATAACAAAATTTAATCACTGTGTTCTCTTTTTTTCCGTACTGTAGGGGAGAGTGGGGTCAATTGTAACAGGGTACGATTGTAACGGAGCAAAAAGTTCGAGTGTCGGGATCTAGATTTGGTTCCTAGGTGGCGCACAAGGTGTATTTAATAAATCTACATGTACACCCCTGCTGGCAACCATTTTTATGTACTTTTGAAAGAGTTACACCACAAAAGATATTTCCACGCTACGTAAGTACTTTTTTTGGTATTAGAATATTATATTGTAACAAAGCAATTTTGTTTAAGCAAATAAAAATTATTAACTGAATATGTAAGTGAACACCTTAATTAGCATTTCAAAAAAAATAAATTAGTCTTGTTAATTAACTAGCATTGTTTTTAACAAATGAAGCTGAAATGGCGTCTTGGGGACGATTGTAACAGCTGAAAATAAATAATCTTATGTTTACAAACCTTTACTTAACTGTTTAAGAACCACCAATAGTTTCCTATATCATTTATTTTATGTTGAATGTGCATTATTTTATTTGTCACCTTTCACAGCATAAATTAAAATTTTTAACCCCTTAGAGTTGAAAGTTTAAAGGTCTCCTTTAAAAGTCTTTAAAGTTAAAGCCTTTAGGTCTCTGCTCATTATTATTTTTATTCCTAAAATATCACTACTATTTTGATCAATAAAAAATATATCACAACTATGATAATATGTATAATTAACTATGTTTTAGTTGAACTTATGAACTGTTACAATTGACCCCGTAAGTGGGGACAATTGTTACTAGTGCAAGACTGTCAAAAATTGTTAATATCTAATATAATAACATTTAAAATAAGGTATTTTTTTTTCTAGTAGAGGATAGTCTACTTTACTCATCTGTCAATTAATACTAATAATATATTGGACTTTTTGTCAGTTAGAAATAGTTTAGTAGAAAATGTTACAATTGACCCCACTCTCCCCTACTTAACACATTAGCACTGTGAAAAAAAAACAAATAATAGCATTAAAATAAGAATGTTTCAAATCTAAAGTCATTTAAATTAAATGTAAATCAACGTATTGCATGGAGTTACGTTTGTATTTTTATTTGTTATGTACTTTTTTGTAAAAAAAATAGAGCAAAAATTAAAACTCTGATTTTATTTAAACACTTCTGAGACCAATTCTGAATTTTTTTCCTTTTGTTTCTGGCCGGTGATAAGTTTGAATTCCTTCTTGTTCTTTCTTTTACAAAGATTATTACATTCCAAAATCCCTTACAACCATTTAACTTATACGTTTTTTATCGCTATCATGCTAATTTTTGGAAAAAAGCATTTAATTCTGGTTCCACGATCATGTGTTAATTGAATAATAAGTGTGTAATTCATTACTTTATTACATAATTAATAACAATTTTAAAGGAATTCTTAAAAAAAATACCCATCTTTTGATGGGAATATTTTGCAAAATTTCAAACAGATTAATTTTCTTATTTTTTTTTATTAGAATGAGTATTCTTGCTCTTATCACCTGATATATTAATTATGTATATTGTACTCAATATTTTTTGACTGACCATCTTAGTTGTATTTTGTACTCTCGTAGAGTCTTCATAGTACATTTATCATATCTTCTTCTATTACTTCTGGAACTCATTTTTTTAGTAAGTTTGAATCATTGCGTCTAACGTGTCCTAATAATTACTTTACTTGCAATAAAAATAAAAGTAAATATTTTAAAAAATTGCTAAAATGTGTGTTTAAATTGCTAATGTTTTGTTTTATTTAAATGAAATTTAAAATTATGAAATTTTTCAGATTATTTAGAACTTAATTTTCGTGTTTTAATGTTTTCCTTGCTCAGATGGTATTCTGACTAAATTGAATTTGTTTTTCTTTTTCTTTTCCAGAAAAAATTAGGTGCTCTTTTAAGCAATAGTATTGATTTCAGGGATAAAATTTACCAAGTTCAATTTTCTCCCTCTTCCGTACTCAACCAGATATTTTAATAAACTATTTTTCACCTTATTAAGAAATATTCATAGTAGTGAAATATTTTATTTTTGCTTGAATTAAGTATCAGTTTCATACTGGGGCAAAAATTTAATATTTTATTCCTTATTTAGATAATAACAAATTTTGTTTTAATGTTTTCCCGATAAAATCTATCACCATTTCAAAAAATGATGCTTATTACTGATAAGTTTGTCTTACATTTCAAAACCAATCTAATATGCCCTTAGGGGTGAATAACCACCCATACATTACATCACTGATGCCCTTGTGCTAACGATTTAGCAACTTAATGTTCTGTAAAAAAATATATTATTTTTTTAAAGTGCGTGTACTGTAGAAATTCCGATTAAAAAGTACTTTGTTTATTAGTAGAATATAAGCACACCGGACAAAAAATTAGTCAGCCTTAGAGAAATCATGAAAAAAAATCTTTTAATAGCGCGTAACATCGTCTCTGGATTCTATAACTGCTTGGATTCAGTTAGGAAATAAGTCCACAAGGTTTTGCAGGTATGTCGAATCCAGTTTAAGTCACTCGCTGAGTATTTGATGGCACAAACGCATCAAATTACGAGGATGCTGATTTTTCTTTCCGCGTATTTCACCATATTTCGATAATTTTTGCGCAAAATATTAAAATTCGGTTGTGCAAATGCTTTTATTATTACTTAGTTTAATAGTCGAAAAAATTTTGAATTGTAAAGTAAACAATTTTTCACATAATTTTAAAATATGTATTTTTACATGGCAAAACACAAAATTTGAGCAAAATCGTTTTAAAAGTTCCTAAGAAATAAAATTTTAAAACAGTCGTATGTTTAAAATTCGAGTGCGTAATTAGTTCGAATCCCTCTCGATGTATATACTACCTACTGTATCTATATGTACTTACTGTTTATCGTAAAATTGTGTATTTTTCAAACAGAAAAGAGTTTTTTAAGCTGTTCTTTGTATTTACAAAGAAGCCCACATGTGTACGTAAATAAATAAATAAATGTCACTACCTCATAAAAGATGGATAAAAAGTCAACCATAGTATTATATGTCAGAGTTTAACATCTTTAAAATGTATATATATAAACATATGAAATCATCATTCTTGTCTCATTTACCCTTTTTATATTTGAGAAATTATGTTAGAATAAGAAAAAATTGGCAGTCATCTAACTCCTATCAACCATTTAAATACACTGCAATTTAATATAAACCGTGAAAGTGTAAATAAATTGTTACACTTATATTTGGTAAGAGACAAAGACATCAAATTGTTAAAATTACGAAATAAGTGGTAGAATTTTGAATAGTTTCAAAGCTGGTTTAGACAATTTTAGCGCGATACTATACTGGGGGGTATAAAAAGCATGTATTTGGTTATATTAACTTTTGAAATTTATATTTATTGCTAAATGTATTGTAATAAGAACTATTTTTAAAAGCATTATTTCCGGTAGACCGTAACATATTTTTTTTCCTAAATGTAAAAGAAAACAATAATACCATTTTGAAAATAAGTACTCCTTCCATTTTCTACAAATACTGTTTCACATTTTTTTTTCTTAAATTTTAATATTGTATCAATTTCCAGAAATAAATTATTATTTCATTTAAAGTAAATTTAACGAATCTTTATACATTTATTTAAAATTATCAAATATCATAAAGAATGAGGGTAAAAGAGGTTTAATTGTCAAAAAATGTTAATGTTCATCTATATTCATTAGTTAATTTCTAGCTCGATGTGAAAAGAAAATCTTTTGGAACGAAAACTGAATACAATAAGTGCTTGAAATATGCTTAAGAAATCCTTGATTTAAAATATTTTCTAAACATTATAGGACATAATTTTCAAAATATTCAAATAGTGCAATGCTGAAGGAATAAAATTTGTAGATATGGATTTTGGTCATTGCCATTTATTTTTCTCCTTTAGAGAAAAACGAAACCAATAAACACATTTAAAAAAAAAAAAGTGGTATTTTTATATAATAGTTTATTGCTTAAAAATTGATATTAATTGTATTATTTAATATATATCATAAACTGAACTAAGCTTATCCTTAAATTATACTTTCTAATATCAATTAAAAAACAAAAAGCAAAATGAGTTGAGTTTTGTTAGTTGGAACTAATTTCAATTAGTTTTAATGTTTTGATCTAACTTTAACCTATCTTATGCGGAGATAAGTTCAGAAAAATACCTATACGAACGCAGCTACTTTTTTTCCCAAAAGACTCATGTTTGTCTAAACCCATTAGTTAGCTTTCAGTTTGATGCAAAAGAAGAAAAAAAACCTCTCGGAAAAGAAATGGAAAGAAAATATCTACTTAAAATACACTTTGCCAACTGCTGAACGAAAAAAAAAAGTTTTAACAGGTATACTTGTAAGCTTTTGGGACCTCATTTTCTAACTGTTCCTGCTATGCAGGGAAATCTAAGGGAATCTTATGATAGGCGTGTCTCTATTCATGACGTCACGGTCACATGATGCTATTCTCTACCGGCCGGTGGGGCAACTGTGAAGAACACCAAGCAATCGCACAGTTTCCTGAGTCGTCGTTCGCGCCTGTCTCGTTTTGTTTTCATACCTTTTCATAAGAAAAGGGTTTAACTTATCTTTTTGACGAACTGCGACATCAATGAGCGAATGAGAGTTTTATTTGATTATCGTTTGGGATCGTTATTAATTGGAATAAAATGACGATTTTTATAATTGCAGTGACTTACCAATATTTCTTGAACTGAGATTTTTATTTTTATGTGAATTTTTAAGCCCCGATAAACTATTTTCAGAGATTTGACTGCACATTATTAGTGGGACTCAATAATAAAAAACTAATATTTTTTCTGCGATTAGTGTGAAATTATTTGACGTTCCAGCATGCCTGGAGTTTTAAGGCATTCAGAGCTTAAAAGATCTCTTCGTAAAAAAGTGGGGCGAAATACTGGAACTCACTCTTGGCATTTGTCATTTGTATTACTGTGCTGTTCATTTATTGCTTGGAGTGGAAATATAACAGCAGCATCTGATAATGTTTCTCTTACAACAGAAGGTATGTTAGCTTTTTTGGTTAACAATTATAGTTGAAATTATGAGACACAAGATTATTACCTTTATTATAATAATACGTTAAACTCGTTTTATAATTCCTGTTCCTTTTTTATTATAAATTAAAACGTAATAAAAAATTGCATAATACAAATATTTTTTAAAACGTGAAGACGTTATTTAATGAATTGATTAACAACAAAAAAAATTATTGATTAACAAAAAAAAAATGAGTTATAGTTGCCATTGCAAAATTTATTTGTGTAATGAGTTCTTTACGTTTAAATAATACATTTAAAAATATCGGTTTGAAAACTTAATTATTCTTTTATTAATTATGGATGTTTTAGTATTAATTTAAGAAAATTTAGTCTTCCGTGCTTTGTAAAAAGGATTATTCTACAGTGTGGAGTGTGTTACAATCGAGCAAAATCAAGACTTTTTTTTCTTAATTTCAAAATTAAAATTTTATAAGAAAAATGTGTGTTATGAAACGCATGATATATATAACCAAGTAAATAAGTTAAGTATTTTTTTTTTTGGAATATTTTTAGTTTTATACTGCAAAAAAGAAGAAAAAAAATTAAAAATGTAAAATATAGAAGTCGAAAAATAAATAATGTATAGGTATGATTATTTAAGTAAAAAAAAAATCAACGAATAAATTTAAATAAAAATAATAAAAAATGAAATTAAAAATAAGGGATTTATTTTAAAATATTGCAATATATCAGTTAAAGCAACTCTTGAAGGAAGATCTCTCTAAGCTGCAGTCGTCATCAAAAGGGCAAAAAGTGTGACTTATACTAAAAATATATATATATACATATATTTTTTTTTTTCAATTTGACTAAAACAAGTTTATATTCTCAACTTTTCCCAAATTCAATGTAGGCTGTTACTCTGAATCGACTTTTAAAATTCTTGCAGTGGTTTGATTCAACTTTTCGTCACGGCCATTTTCACGAAATCCGATTTGTTAAAAAGGAGAAACAACCATAAAGGGGAAATTTTCGTTAGCACATAACCAGTTACTGTGATGCAGAAAGAAAAGTTTTTGTTATGGGTTGTTATCCAAAACTCTAGCAACATTATATATCTTACAGCATATAACAGCATTGTGTATATCTTAGTAAATTGTTTTGATTTTTAATAATTTTTCATTAGATGACTATTCTCATTTATGTTTAAATTTTGATTTTGCTTATTATCCATTAAATGTTGAATGATTAATATATCATTCTCTATTAACTAATATTGTTAGAATGTGAATTAATGATTCTTTATTAGAATAAGGATGACGACAAATATTTAGATAGTATACGATGATATATTTTTCCCTGTCAATAACAATTTTTCTTTTCTCATCTGTATACTGAATATTGCTTTTTGTCGGCAATAATTCTTTTTTCTTTTTAAACACAATGAACATTATTTTAGTGCTATTATATTAGACATTTATGAAGAAAAATTTCTCAGAATATATTCACCTTTATATTGATTCTTTAAGTTTTGAGTTATCCGTTTAGAAATGTTAAATGTTCCTTTGAATCCAATTTGTTAAATTTTATTTATGGGGGCATCAGTTTTAATACTTTTACATTTGTTTTAGCAAAAGCGAAATTTTTTTTATAAGTTTTTTTTTTTTAATTTTATTTTTATAAAGAGATTCAAGAGATTTGTGCATTTTTAAGAGATTTGAAAAATGCATAAAATTATATTTTTTCTATCTTACACATTGGGTTTTAATCAAAATAAAGTTAAAAATTCATAATGTTACTTTATTTAGATTTAAGTTTTTTTCAGTTCATATCAATTATTGAATTGTTGTCAGATCTATTACTAATCGAGTCAAATCTATTTTAGAGGAGTTTTAAGCAAAAAAAAATAAATAAATAAATAAATAACATAAAAAAATAACGTAGTAATTTGCCAAAATTGGGTCGATTAAATATAGAAAGTACTAGTTTGAATTTATGCGCAGTGAATCCATTTTTAAAGTTCAATGTTTAAAATTTGAGCATTAAGGTAAACAGTTACATTATGAATATACGACATAGTTTATTTTATTTTGCATTTTATTAAAATAATCACAGTTTAGAAGATTGAAATAATTTGCTATTGTATATATTTGTGAGCTGGAACTAAAAAAATATTATTAACATAATGTAGATGTAATAATATCTCGATTCCAAAAAAAAAAAAAAAAATAAAAAAANGCGAAAGAGCAAGACTCCGTCTCAAAAAAAAAAAAAAAAAAAAAACTGAGGACAATAGCAGCAAAAACTTATTTAAGGATGACATGAAACAAAAATAAGGCTAAAGGTAAAATGACGATATATTACAAAAGAAATAAAATTGTGATTGCATTATTTCTATTACTGGTTGCTCATAGATTGATGTTTTTCTTTCTCTGGACTTTTGTAACCGTCAGAACACAGTGGGTTGCAAAAACTGCATCAATCTATTGCCGTGCAATGATGGATTGAATTTCAGTTCCACCCAATATACATATCTTACACTGAGAAAAAAACATGTTCAAAACTAACAGAATATGATAAAATTTAACGTATTTCAGGCTCCATGAGAGCACAAAAAAGCTTAATAATTTTAATCGAAACTATTTGGTAATGATTTAAGTAAAATTAACATGGTTTTCTAATGTGTGAGAAAACTTGATTAATGTGTTAAAATTTCGCCATTTTATCATGACATTAATACATATCATGGATTTAATAAATTTGCATTTTACCCTTTGTCATGGCAAAATGTGTGGTAATGTGTTCTAGTAACCAAATAAATGGTTTAAATACCGTATATTTTGGTTTTTATTAACCACTAGAATTATGATTTGTTCTTTACTTGAAATGACATACGTTAATTACAGTACGGTAATTTTGCTAGAGATTTTTTCTCCATGTAAGATGTCACAAATTTCTTTTAATTCTTCTGTATTCATATTTATATTTAAATATACACGCAAACAATAATTTTAAACAATTTAATCATAAAAACGGCATAAAAAATACTTCAAATAACCAATATGTAAAAACTTTAAAAATGCATGCTGATGAAAATAAAAATTTAAAAATAGTTTGAAAAACAATCAATTCCGAAAAAATCCGAATTTATCGCCTGCTTCTTCTTTATTTAATCATGTTATGCTTAATTTTTTTTTATTTGTGATTATGGTGTTGAAGTTGATATAGTCGATAAAGTTGATCCAGTCCAAAAGTGAGCAGACAAAAAAACCCTCAAAATCCAATTTCCCAAAGGGTGGTGAAGTTTATAAATATGTATGCTACTACAAGAGTTCCCTTAATCTTAATTTTATTTTAATTTTAGGATAGTATATTATTTAATGAGTTCTTTTTCACTGAGCAAACGAGTCCCTACTATTGCTTACCGTCCACTTCTGTTCTATGGTGATATACGTACTGTTTCATCGAAATTATTAATTAAATTAAAATAAATTAAATTTGTTTTTGTATTAATATTCCACATATCAAGTTTTGACAATTTTAAGATCATACTAAGAATTTCAAAAGTCATCTTCTTTAGTTACCATTACCTCTTTACTGACTAAATTTTTTGAAATAAAAAAATCGGTATTTTTTTGTGTTGGAAAATTAAAATTCGTAATATAATTAGTAGAGAAAAAATTATTTTAGCAAAAATTTAATTCCTAATATTGCCTCACAATTTTTGTATCAATTGTTTAATATGTATGGTTGGTTAGACATGGGAATAAAATAATGATTTTTTTTGATTATTAAAGTGAATATAACATTTTAATATTTAATAATTATAAAAAAATAATAAATATGCTTAAAAAATTAATATAGAGTAACAATTTTATAACAAGAGAGAGCTTAGTAAGGGAAGAAATGTACTTTTAGATTTATACCTTTAATTTTGAACAATAATTGAAATAAATAAAAAAAATCGTAATAGTTGCTGAAAATAAAATAAAAAAATATTAAATCATCCATACTCGTCTTTAATTTTGAATTAAAATCTGAAAAACACTTATAATAGTAACCGACAATAATAGATAAAAATAAAATATATAAATATTATAAATAAATATTTTTATATTTAATTGCCCTTATCACTTTTGTGAATTACATGCTAATGAAAGCAAAGATCTCCTGATAGAAAAAAAATGTGCATTTATGAAAAGTAACTGAGCATACAAATTTGGATGCTTTATGTTTTTACTTATACAAACGTGTATTTAAATATTTTCTATGATAAATTAAGTTTTTAAATCAGCATAATGAATAGAATTGATAAGAAAATGTAAAAGCAATATTTGTGAATTGTTTGAAATATTTTAATTTAGGATAAATGTTTCAGTTTTAAAAAATATTTTTTGACACAATACATCTTTTTAATATTCGAAAATTATAATTATTATTTAGATGTTTTAATTAAACTAGTTTATTTACATTTTATGTCGATGTTTAAATTTAAATGCAGTTTAAAGCACGTCGGTTGTTTAATGCAGTTTCGGAGATAATTGAGATAATTTAGTATATTTAAATACATCTTAGAACTTTTCTGATTAAATTGGACAATTAAAAAGTTATCAAACAAAAATATATTTTTTATAAGTGATAGAGTTTGTGATGTGTTCAACACTTTTTTAATTTGAACTCGATGTCTCAGAGCATCAAAAAAAACCTTCTTTGGTTAAATTTACTTCTTAGTTTTTTTTGTTAAATGTGAGCTTATGAGACATATAATTTTGAACACCGGAATTTCCACTAATCCTTTGCCATATATCTGGAAAAATGTTTAGATCTACTAACCAAAATTATATTTTGTTGGCCAGAAACATTATTACTGTAATTGAAGTATACAGTACAGTAATTTTACTATAATATGTTTATTCGTATTATAAAGGAAATATTTATTCTTATTTTAATTTCTCATACATGTACTGAATATATTTACATGTATTCAACATATTATGAGTAAAAAATATTAGAATTTGAATAT